ACCCACAATCTACTAATTAAGTTATCTTAATCAAAAGTATGTCATATATTACGTTTACTGCATACCCGTAATCTGCTAATAAACTTTTCCTATCAAAAAAAATGTGATATATTACATTCATTGCACACCCACCATCTACTAATAAAGTTGCCCTCTTAACAAACGCAGTAAAGCGGTTTATCGACAATGCTTCTTCTTCCCGTCCTATCCATTTTGAAACCCTTTGCTAGCTGGGGGACGGGGGGGATTTCTGGGAGGTTGGAAGTCCACCCGGTCTTCAAAATTGGACGCCCTCCTGGGTGTAGGCTGTGCTGTGACCCCGGCCCAAGAGTTGTGCGTTTCTCCCTTCTCCCCCTCGCAGAGAATACGCCGCTGAAGTGGACATTTCCAGCCGCCTCAACATGAACCTGGGCCTGGGCATCGCCTTCTTCCAGGGACTCTCCAATGTGGCCCTGAACTGTGAGTAGACGCTCCGCGGCGTCGGCCACGCGGGACCGTGGGCGCCCTTGATTAGGACCTTTCAGGGCGGTTCAAATCCCCAGCGCCACGTCACGGAGGGAGCTCCCGTTTCCTCGTCCCAGCTTCTGCGAACGTAGCAGTTCGAAAGCATGTAAAAACATGCCAGTAGGAAAACAGGGACCACCTTTGGTGGGAAAGGAACAGCGTTTGCGGCGTCTTCGGCAACATTTAGTCCCACTAACCACGGGACCACGGAGACGTCTTTGGACAACGCCGGCTTTTCGGATTTGTCACGGAGACGAGTGCCGCCCTTTAGAGCCGAGAACAACAAGCACGGATGTGCAAGGGGAACCTTTCCCTTTCCCTTACCTATACAGGTAGTCCTCGACTTAACGACCACAACGGAGGCCAAAATGGCAGCGAGGTCTCATTTGACGACCTTTCTCGTGCTTAAGTGAAGCTAGTAACCCCGATTGTTAAGTCAATCTGGCTTTCCCCCCTCCCTGAATGTCGCTTTGCTCCCAAGGCTGCCTGACCTTGGGACCCAGCCAACGGTCATCCATCCGAAGCGCCTGAATTTTTACGACAGGACCACCAAAGGTTGTAAGCGTGGAAAAAATGGTCCTCGGTCGCCTTTTTCAGTGGTGTCACTTTGAACAGTCATGATACGAACTGTCGTTAAGTCGAGGACTACCTTTAAATCAGACTTCCAAGTTGGAGGCCCAGACCAAGGTTAGGTGAGATGATTTGGTGGGAAGGGCAAGTGTTAGGATATGTGCGGAGTATATATAACCCTTGAATAAAAAGGATATGCACACGGACGGAAACGGTTTATGGGAACAGTTATGAATAAATATACTAACTATTTACTAAATATATAATAGTTATGAATAAACACAGAGTTGAACAAGTTGTGTTAATGTTTACTTGAAGAAATAGCACAGTACAATAAACAGTCCATGTCATACACGTTTTAACGGTCGAGAAATATCCAGTTCTAAAGTCTTCTTACCGGTTTCAAGTCTTTTACAGCAGACCAATATCAAACCATAATACAACAGATAAACTTAGATATCAACAGAATATCAAAATAAACAGGGTTAGTCAGTCTCGGTGCGTAGTCCGTCAGCCTCAGTATCAAGAGAGATCATCAGTGCAAAAGAGAAAAAAGAAAGAGAATTAAACCATGATCTATAGCTCCCTCTTAGGAGAACTTGTAGCAAATGACCCCGCAACCTGATTATAGGCCACGGCTCCACAGGTTTGTCGACCCCCTTCTCTAAATGGTTGATGTAAACCAGGGCCCCCCCCCCCCCCCCCAATACATGTTGAAAAATCGGGGTTGCGGACGAGATTTGCAAGGCGGCGAGCGCGCGAAGTTCTGCTCGTCGGAGCGGACGGCGCTTGCTCTCGTGCAAAGCTCCGGAGTCGCCCGCACGTGCCTGGGCTCGCCTGCCGCAGCTGCCAAATCGTCCCCTCAAACAAAGCCGGGAAAATTTGGGGTAAGTCCGCCGTGCAGCCGTGCTGTTTCCCTTCCTAGGTATTGTGCTCGGCACCATCTTTGTCGGCGGGTCCCTCATGGCCGGACAAGAGATGACGCCTGGGGACCTCATGTCGTTTTTGGTCTCCTCTCAGACCGTACAACGGTAAGGCCAGCCCCCGTCTCCTCCCGTCCCCTTACACCAATGACGGATGATCCGTCTGGCTCTTAAAGAGAGCCGTCTGCTTCTCTTTCTCGATAGGTCCATGGCCAGCATGTCGGTCCTCTTTGGACAGGTAGGTGGGGCTGGCCCGGGGGGGGAGGGATTCTTGGCGACGTTCAGGTAGTCCTCGATTTAATGACAGTTCGTTTAGTGTCCCGGGGTCCAAAAAGTGTGTGTTGGTTTGTTTCCCATGACTGTCGCAGCGTTCCCTGTGGTTGCACGATATACCTTCGGATGCTTGGCAACTGGTTCCTCGCAGTGTCCCTGGGCAGTGGGGTGGGGGGGTGCTTCCTGTGACCTCCCCCCTTTTGCGACCATAGTCCACGGGCAAGCCCACTCCCCTTAACCACCATGCAACCAAGTTAACGCCTGAAGAAACGTGGCAAGAAACGGGGGAACGGGCCTTAAACGAACGGAGCGCCTTTGCGGTCGCCAATTTGAGGGACGCCTGGACCATCCCCGCTGGCGTTTTTTTCTTTCCCCAGGAGGAGAAGGAGGAGGAGGGCCCGGGACTGAGAGGCCCGGCTCGTACCTCGAGACACCTCCACCTCCCCCCCACCGCCCTCTGCCTCTCTTCCTTCCCTCCGGCAGGTCTTACGAGGCATGAGCGCCGGGGCGCGCATCTTTGAGTTCATGAACCTGACGCCGGAGATCCCTCCGTGCGAGAGACAAGCGCTCACCTGCAGCATGCTGACGGGCCACCTTGAGTTCCGCGATGTGACCTTCAGGTAAGGGCGGAAGCTTCCCGGGTTAGGAAGGACGACGCCTCGAGTTCGAAGCGCGCCATTTTTGGCGGAGTGGGGGGGG